GGTTCACAAGTTAATTATGCAGGCTACACATTGCCCCCCCCCAGCAAGCTGGGTACTCCTTTTACTGATCTCAGAAGGATAGAAGGCTGAGTCAGTCTTGAGCCAGCTACCTGGGATTGAACCCCAGGTCATGGGCACAGTTTTGGCTGCAGTACAGCAGTTTAACCACTGCGCCACAAGGCTCTAGAGTGGATCATCAGCCTGTTTTGTTTTTAGACTTTTGAAATCTGTTTTATACATTTGCTCTTAGTTAATAACTTAGTTGCCAAGTTTTGTGCTGATTGAAATTTTCTAGTTGTTTTCAAAGGCAGCTCCAAATGTAATGCATTGTAATTGGATATTACAGGATTATGGGGGCCAAGATGGTGCAATGCCTATCTGGTGAAAGGTGCACACAAAGAATTTAGGGTTTGATGGATAAGATTAGTTGTAATTCCACTCCCAGGATATAAACCTGATCCTTAAGAAGGAATATAACTGTCTCTAATTTTTGACATAAAAGGTGTCTCATTCCCCGTTTTTCCTTCCCAAAACTAGGATGCGCAAGGTCAGGCAAGATATTTTTACGTTGCCAGATCCAGCTCATAAGACCCTATCCTCCAGTATGCATGGATAGTAAGAGTGTATTAGCTTGCAAAAATGGTAAATACTTACTTGAGATCTAACAGGCTTAAATGAGGCTTATAAAAACGAATGTATTACAGTTGTGCACATACTATGGTGCAGCTTTAAATGATTAATTTCTGCTCTTTAAATGATTAATTTCTGCTCTTTCATGTTAATTAAATGATTAGTTTAATTTCATTAATTAAATGATTAATTTCTGCTCTTTCATATTCACAGACATTTGAAGACAGTGACTTGTTTCATCTGATTGGTGTTGTCTGTGGTCTAGCAATATATAATTTTACTATTGTAGAACTTCACTTTCCTTTGGCCTTGTATAAGAAGCTTTTGAATAAGAAACCTTCTCTAGAAGACCTCAAGGAGCTAATGCCTAGTGTTGGCAGGTGAGCATATTGGAGTGCTATACAGGCGTACCTTGGTTTACGTACGCCTCGGTTTATGTAATTTTTGGTTTACGAGCTGAAACCTGTAAGACATAATGCCTCAGTTTACATTTTTTACTGGGATTTTTCACTGTACGAAAAGGACACATCGTGCCTGGAGGTTTCTAGCACTGCCCCCATTGCTACAGCAATCCACGCTCCGGTTTACGTAATTTCCTCATTACATAGCGTCCTGGATGATGGATTAATTTCGTAAACCGAGGTACTGCTGTACTAAATTTCTTTCATTAGTATAAAGAAATGAAGACAAAATACACAGGAAATTAATATGAAAAAATGTTAAGTACACAGCTTGGGTATTCACTTTTTTAAAAAAAAACTAAGGATATTTTTGATTGTTCACTTAGCAGGTATGAAACAAATACAAATGTTAAATAAATTATTACACTCTGGGTGTCCAAACAGTAAAATTATAATTAATATAATTAATATACCCCTGATGTACTTCTTAAAAAGAGAACTCTGGCCTGACTGAATTCATGAACCTTGGTCTGGGCTGTATCTTTTCAGACTTATATTACTCAATGCTCTTCCTTGTAAAACATTCCATAAAAATGGCAGTATTGGAAAAGTGTTGTAGCATAGTATTCTGATACACTGTTCTTCCTTTATGAAAATATATATATATTGACATAAAGGGAGTATTCTCTCTCTCTCTCTCTCTCTCTCTCTCTCATGATTATGCATGTGGAGTGCCCATAAACACTGAAATGTGGAGCGTAGAGCCAAGTTTACCAAATGGGAATGTCATCTTAAGCTTAGGCCATTTTCCTACAAAATGGCTGACTCATGGATTTGCTTGAAGTTGCATCAGCATGAGAGCAACGTGGTATGCTATTCTCATGTAGCAGTGCCCCCCAGAAGATGGCTGCAGTGATTCACAAAAGTTTTTTTTTGCACTCGTATATAGATCTGGTTCTCATTCTGTTTCCACATTAAGTAAATGTGCACTGTATGATTTACTCCAAATAACTTGACATCTGTTCCTTCTCTCCTGTTTTGACTGGAATGTTCTGTTCACGTTAACTCTGCTTCTTCCTCATTGAAGTATTTTTTTTCTCAGGGCCCTGTTAGCCTGTATTAGCAGTTTACTGGCATGCTACATAAATAGTTTATGGGGGGCAGGGGAACTGTATGATTTACTTCTCAAGTTAAATTCTGAAACATTCTCAAATGTTATCGTGGGAACTCAGAATAAAACAGTATTTACTTTTTATTGTAAAGCCAAATCAAACATTAGTAGATTTTTGGCAGGAGGATCGGCACTCCAGACTGATATTTTCTTCCAGACTCCAATTGTTGCTAATCTAAGCTACATTACTATGGAAGGATATCAGGCTATTTCAGTTCTGTAAAATCAGTGCTGATTTTAGTTTGAATTGAAATATGTTTAACATTTAATTTTCAGGAGTATGCAGCAATTACTGGACTATCCAGAAGATGATATAGAGGATACCTTCTGCCTCAACTTTACTGTAAGCTTGAGATAGTTCATTATACCCTTTTAAATGCAAACGTGAGCACTGTATATATATTGGTGATCCTTTTTTCTGAAGACAGTATGCTTTGAACATGTGACATACCTTCCTAATCTATTTTGCATTATGGATTCTCTTCTGCAGCAAAAAGTAAAATATACTCTCATGTTCTAAACAGATCACTGTTGAAAACTTTGGTACCACTGAGGTTAAAGAACTAATTCCTAATGGCACAGACATTCCTGTTGTCAAACAAAATAGGTACGTTTCAGCAGATGTTGACAGAGTGAGTTCTTGGCTTAATTTCATTCATTTAGCAAGGGACTCTTCATATTTAATTCAAAATTGAACTGAAAAGTAGTTTCTGATGGGGCGAAGAATTCCACCTCACTTCACATTAACTGCAGTTCATTTCAAGGCATTTGCTTAGAGTTTTGCAGAAACATTGTGACTTTAAAATGGTAAATTGCAAAATGTGTTAAGAAATTAGTTCTCTCTTCATGTATTGTCCTTGGTATGTGATGCCTAACTTGCATTAAGGCAACAGATCCACAGTAGGATGTGTTAATGCTGATTAACTAACCACATATCCCAGCATCTCTGTTCAGTTAACTGAGAGCATGGGTGTTTAGCCTGCTATTTGATCCATTGCATGGATAGGCTGGTTTGCTTCTAAAGAAACAAAGGGCTTCTCCATTTTGGTGTGGGTAGGATAGCATGTTATTGATTCATTTTCAGTGTGTGTAATTGCTGGAAACAAACCAAAAATGAGTCTTCCCCTTTCAATTTGGCATGATCCAGAAGTGGCTTAAGAAGTGAGCCCCTTCAAGATAGTACTGGCAAATTAAACATGTTCCCAGCTCTGTGGAGGGGCTGAGGAAGTGATTTTTTTTAGTATATTAGGGCAATACATACAGTATATCACAGAAGTGAGTAACCCTCTGATATTTCATAAACATTTTAGTATATCTTTTCATGTGACAACACTGAAGAAATTACACTTGACTACAATGTAAAGCAGTGAGTATACAGTATAAATGTGCTGTCCCCTCAAAATAACGCAACACATGGCCATTAATGTCTAAACCGCTGGCAACAAAAGTGAGTACACCCCTAAGTGAAAATGTCCAAATTGGGCCCAAGTAACCGTTTTCCCTCCCTGGTGTCATGAGACCCGTTAGTCTCAGGTATGAAGGGGAGCAGGTGTTATCACTCTTTCTCTCAGATTTGTCACTGGAAGTTCCACATGGCACCTCATGAGGTTCCACTCAGAACAGGCCTCGCCATGATTGAACAAAGAAGTTGAATGCCCATGCTCAGTGTCATATCCAGAGGTCAGCTTTGGAAAATAGACGTATGAGTGCTGCCAGCATTGCTGCAGAGGTTGAAGGCATGGGGGGTCAGCCTGTCCATGCTCAGACCATATGCCACACACTGCATCAAATTGGTCTCTAGGGCTGTCATCCCAGAAGGAAGCCTCTTCTAAAGATGATTCACAAGTAAGCCCACATACAGTTTGCTACAGACAAGCAAACAAAGGACATGGATATCTGGAACCATGTCCTGTGGTTCAATGAGACCAAGATAAACTTACTTGGTTCAGATGGTGTCAAGTGTGTGTGGCGGCAACCAGGTGAGTACAAAGACAAGTGTGTCGTGGCTACAGTCAAGCGTGGTGGGAGTGTCATGGTCTGGGGGTGCTTGAGTGCTGCTGGCACTGGGGAGCTACAGTTCATTGAGGAAACCATGAATGTCAACATGTACTGTGACAAACTGAAGCAAAGCATGATCACCTCCCTTTGGAGACTGGGCCACAGGGCAGTATTCCAACATGATAACAAACCCAAACACACCTCCAAACTGACCACTGCCTTGCTAAAGAAGCTGAGGGTAAAGGTATTGGACTGGCCAAGCATGTCTTTAGACCTAAACCATATTCAGCATCTGTGGGGCATCCTGAAACGGAAGGTGGAGGTGCGCAAGGTCTCTAACATCCACCAGCTCTGTGATGTCATCATGGAGGAGTGGAAGAGGACTCCAGTGGCAACCTGTGAAGCTCTGGTGAACTCTTTGCCCAAGAGGATTAAGGCAGTGCTGGAAAGTAATGGTGGCCACACAAAATATTGACACTTTGTGCCCAATTTGGACATTGTCACTTAAGGATGTACTCACTTTTGTTGCCAGCGGTTTAGACATTAATGGCCGTGTGTTGCGTTATTTTGAGGGGACAACACATTTATACTGTCATACAAGCTGTATACTCACTGCTTTACACTGTAGCCAAGTGTCATTTCTTCAGTGTTGTCACATGAAAAGATACACTAAAATATTTATGAGATGTGAGGGGGTGTACTCACTTCTGTGATATACTGTATGTCCCCCATCACTTTTAAAAAAAGATAGATGAAAAACTTCCTCCAGGAAGTGGGAGACGACAGAAGGGGGCAATGAGGGGAATTTTTGTTTGCTTTTCTCTTTAAGGTCCAGTCAGGAACCTGCCTGACTCTTGGCTGGATCTTTAAGAGAAAAGCAAACAAGAATCCCCCTCAAGTAAGCCAGAAAAAAATAAACCTTGTTAGAAATTAGTCAGGTTACTGGGTTCATGCATTATGATAATCGAACCAGAGACAGAATGGAAGGTATGTGGGTTTTTTTAGCTGCTCCCACTTGCAGTTGGTGCAGTCAAGCAGCATGCATCAGCACACTACCATTCAAACAAGCCAGAATTATATTCAAATTCTGATGTCCAAATTGTCTACCTGAACCACTACTTTGTGGCATGATCCTCTCATAAGAAAAATCATTGCTCTGCTTGTATGTAGAATGTGTTGCTTTATTATAATTAGCCATGACTGTATACAGAGAAGCACTGCCAAGGCTAAATTGCTATTTTTTTCCTAGAGAAATTGTGGTTGAACATTCTCAATTTTTGTTTTGAAAATATGGTGCCTTTTCTTTTTTCATTTGATTTTTAGGCAAGAGTTTGTGGATGCCTATGTGGACTACATCTTCAATAAATCAGTGGCTTCTCTCTATGATGCATTCCATGCAGGCTTTCACAAAGTGTGCGGAGGTAAAGTTCTTCAGCTCTTCCAGCCAAATGAACTGCAAGCAATGGTGATTGGGAACACAAACTATGATTGGAAAGAATTAGAAAAGGTATGTGGTTTTTCTGGAATTAGCAGCTGTTGTATATACACTTGTAAGAAAAAGACAAATAAGTAGTTGTAGATCAGATCCAGCTTGAACTCCTCACTAGAAGCTAAAATGACTAAACTGAGCCTGTCATACTTAAGGCATATTACAAGAAGACTAAGGATATGATACGACAAACCTTTATTTGCATTAGGCAGTAACTCAGGGGAAATAGACAAAATCAACATTAATGAGGAAGTACAAAGTCATGAGAAATAATGCATATTATCCAGAGAACGTAGTAAGGAGAATTTAACATTATAAAGCAACAGTAAGTCTCAAAATTTCAGTTAAGTAGTTTGTCACCGCCTCAGTGAGGGGAGCATAGCCAGGGAGAAGATCAGGGAAGTGATCCGAAAAGGGAATCAGCCAGTGATCTAAAAAGAGTTTGTGATGGGAGTGGTGTGCTGGGCATTTAAATAGAATATGGCCTAAGATGTCAGTCAGCAAATGACAGAAAAGGCAAAGTCTTTTGTCTTTAGGGATTTTGGAAAAGCGGTCAAACTGCATGGCCGACAGGAAGATGCTAAACCAAGCTAGCATGAAAGCTCTCTGCTGCTTAGGATTAGAGAAGACTAAGGACAGAATCTTTTGGAAGTCATTAAATTATAGTTACTGGATGGCACATAATACACACGTAGACTAGTAAAACCTCTGCTTTACTCTTCTCTTTAGAATACTCAGTACAAAGGAGAATACTGGGCAGACCACCCGACAATTAAAATCTTCTGGGAGGTTTTCCATGAATTACCACTGGAGAAGAAGAAACAGTTTTTGTGTAAGTACAAAACTTGTCATAGAAATAACAAAAATGGGGTTTTGTCAGTTTATCGGCAATTTTATACATGACACCACGATGGAGAAATTCTTGAGGTCAAGGGCTGCTTTTATGTCTTCAGGGTCCTCTGGGGGGCTGCCCTTCCAGATAAAATGAAGTAGCTAGAAATAGGTTACTTACAATGGTCCTGTCTGTGTAGTGCAGGAGGTGTTTTTAAACTACATATACATTTTACATGTATTGGGTCTTGACAGTTATATAAGTGTGTAGTGAGATGGGTGTGACTACACAGTAGGGGAAAATATTATTGTTGATGTAGTTGCACCCTGAGACAGTTTGTAATCTCTGCTGCAAGGATTGCTTCAGTTTTGAAACTTGGTATTTTAGACTGGCTCTAAATTGTGTCTGAAATACAAGCCAAAGGGGAAATTTACATGTTTATTTATATACTGAAGACTTTCAGCTAGATCCAGATACTTACTTGAATGCATGGCATTTAAATAAGGACTAATTTGTCTCACTGGTTACATGGATCTGAATTCAACAGTCTGGATCGATCCAGAGATTTATATGAAATATCTATAACTAGAAAAGTGCACGTTCTCCTTCCTATCTAGGATGAAGTGCAGCTGACCCTCACTCCCCGGGGCCGGGTGGGCCACTAACTGGGCATTACACGTTGCTGGGGTCTTTCTTTGGTGGTGGGACACCAATCTGGGCAGTCAAAATAGTTAACTACCTAGGGAGGCTGGGCCAGCCCAGCTGGGGTCCTGCCAGGATTGGCATGCCACCACGGAAGAAGGACCTCAGTGACACGCAGAGCTTAGTTAGTGGTCCAGCCAGCACAGGGGATGGGAATCCAAACCACCTGTGGTGTCGCATTTTATCCTAGATATGAAGGATGAAGTGCCCATCTCTAAAATGTAAAATGCGTGTGAAAAGATTGGTTGCAGCTGTTCAGTTGATACATGACAGCACTAGAAAGCATCCTACAGCTGCTGTGATTGATTGGAATGATTCATTTATTATTGAAGCTAGAAAACATTTGCTCTCCCCATCAAATTTCCCTTGAAATGTATGTTTTCTCACTAATGCATCAGTCCCTGGACACATCTACATTTCCTGATTTCTATTTTGACCCTACATTCTCTGCTGAGGTAATCTGTAGCATTTGTGCAAAGTAATTAAGAGCAAAACATTTACCAAACATTTAACAGGCCTATCTTGTTTTTCTACCAAATGGCTAATTGCCCTAATAGTTTTAGGTATCATTTTCTTTTAAAGCTGTAGAATAACGGTAAACAAAAAGCAAAACGAATCTGAAAAACACATTTTTATTAATGTCATAATTACATGTATTTGTTTATGGTGTGTATTTGATCCGATAGCCTAAATTGATCTTTCCTAATTCTTTTTTTTAAATAGTATTTTTGACAGGCAGTGATCGTATTCCTATACTTGGAATGAAGAGTCTTAGTCTTGTAATCCAGCCAACAGGAGGTGGAGATGAGTATCTTCCAGTAGCTCATACATGTTTTAATCTTCTTGATCTTCCAAAATACACAGATAAAGAAACTCTCAAATCAAAGCTAATTCAGGCTATTGATCACTATGAAGGCTTCAATTTAGTATAACTTGTGGAAGCTTGGAACGCTGAAGCTATTTAATGTGGGAACATTTAATTTTTTGCATCTATCTTGCAGTGTTACATTCAATAAAAAGCCTAGCAGTGGAGGTGATATAAGAAGCTGTTCATAAATATGTTCCGTGATCTGGTTCTTTAATGGCTGCCTAAAATCCTTACACTGATTGTCTTGATACAAATTCTGAAGCCACATTTTGTGATATTAACAAACAAAAGAGTAACTTGGGGGGGGAAAGTTTCTCTGAATTTTTGTAGTTCACAAGTTGCAAATGACTTGCTGTGTGTGGAAAGATGTGCTTAATTTTTTTTTCAGTCACTGCATCTGTCACTTATAGATCTTTGCTTTGTAAATAATCTTTTTGTAATACTGTATTCCCCAGTAGCAGTAGATACTCCTATCTACTTGCAAGTGAATTGGGACTTACTTCATAAAAACAAACCAAGAGAGGGGAAAAATCCACCACAGCATCTCAGCTGATGTTGGAGATCTGCATCTATTTTTTTAAAATGAGGATCTAATGATGAATAATAAAACTAGAAGTAGTTTGTACAAAGTTCCTTTCACACTAAAGCAGATACAGCTTTTATTAACATAAAGATCAAAACACTATCAAATATTATTTGTCTGATAACCCATGTTCGTATGAACTACCGATTTTCAAAATACCATTACTACTGGATCCTATGATTTAATCCTGGAACTCAATCCTTGATAACCGTGTAATTAATCTCATTTATGCCTCATACCTCAGTCTGCAATTGTTAATTGCATCTTCACTGTTTGCCTTTAACTTCAGCAGAGCTGAGATGTCCATCATTCTCATTCCCAAATGTTGTAAGACCAGTTTTGAAGATCTGGTTCAATTTTCACTTTTTCAGACAATTTCTAAATGCCCTCTTTTAAAAATACTTTTTTGAACTTCAGTCATCTGAAACAATCACATCGAATTTGTGGGGAATTGGAGGTGGGGTGGAGCCTCATGTTCCTGAATGTTTACATGTTATTGATAGTATGTGACTTCCAGCTGTGAAATAAATATTTATTTTTTTTAGATTTATAAACTGCAGTGAAAATTCAAGCGTAAAATAAAAATTATTGAATGAACGTTTTGGGCTTTGTGTATGCCTACAGAGCTCTTCCTTTTGACAAATTTGATTCTATGCACAAATTGCCATAGAAAACTGTTATTTAAACCTGCGGTCCCCAACCTTTTTCAGTCCATGGACCGGCTGGGGAAGGCGGGACACCCCACGCTCATGTGCATGTGTGAATGAGCGTGCTTGCACGCATACACTCGTGCACATGCGTGAACGGCACCACGGTGCTTGTGTGGGCGCGCTCACGCTTGTTCACATGCATGAACGGCAGCGCTGCCATTCGCACATGCACACAAGAGCACCCGCATAAGCACTGCGCCATTTGCGCATGCGCATGAGCAGGTGCAAACAGCCTTTGCGGGGATGAGTGTGTGTGGGGGGGTGTCTGTCTTCGTGGCCTGGTCGGGCTCAGGCTGTGGACCGGCACCAGGCCATGGACTGGGGGTTGACAACCTCTGATTTAAACCACACTTTTGGGAAGATTACTTTTGAGGTTCAGATTGGCTAGTATACTGTGTTCTTTATCTGTGCTAGCCTCAAGACCCCTTGTTCATGCTACACTATATGTTGACATACCTGTTAAGACTAATGTGGGTTCTCTAGTCCTCATGGCTCATTTCCTGAAACAGTGTCTTGTTTGAAGGGAAACTGAGGCTTATGTCCGTATTTCCATTTTTGAGTGTCTACTTTTGAAACTCTTGGTTCTTGCTTACATATACATCCTATATGTGAGATGCATTTTTCCTGTTCAGATATATCAGTCTCCACATGGAGGCTGGTCCCCTTGAGTATGTTCTTAGCAGCTGGGGGGGATAAAGACAGAACAGGGTCTCAAGTCATAACATCTGGAAAAAAATCATACCCCCATTTAATAGTCATGTGTAGTCCAGTGGTGGAAGACTGTGCTTTCAACCATTTCAAGAAAACCCAGAATCAAAAGGTGATAGTTATGAAGCTTCCAATGTACATTATTTTTACAGAAAATCTGCACAGCCAAATATTATTTAAACACTACTCTATGCGGTGAATATTTAAATATAAACATTTAAGTATTTCTTGCATATAAAAGCTAGTACAGTGGTGCCTCAACTTACGAACATCTCTGCTAATGACCATTTTGAGTTACGACCAGCTCCGGTTGCAAAATTTTGCTTTGACTTGCAACCGGAGCTTCCACTTACGAACAGAAAAAGGCAGGGGGGAAAGGCAGGAAATTCAAATTTCTAACTGTAGGTGGTGATGAAGCTACTTCTTTGTAGCTCTTTCGCACCAGCAGTTAAGAGAGTGTGCATCACAGGGAGGCTTCGGGATGCCTGGTAAGGTTGCCATTTTCTGCTTTTTAAAAGTGTTCTGGGTGTTTTTGCAGCATGGTTTTGGGCTGGGGGGTTATGTTCTTGTGTTGTGATTGGTCTTGGGGGGGTTTGTTTGCTGGTTGGTTCCCCCCATTTCCAATGGGTTTTTTTGTTGCTTTTGGTTTTCCATTTCTGATGGGTCTTGGGGGCTTGTTTTTTGGCTGACCCCCAATTTATTTATGTATTTATTGTATGCCACCCACTCTACCCAAAGGTCTCTGGGCAGCTTACAACTATTAAAATACAATTAAAATACAATAAAAGATAAAATGATTAAAATACAATTAAAATAGATACTCTAAAAATTGCCATCAGGACCCACAGTTGATGTTATTTCAATTAAAAGCCTTCTGGAACAGGTTTTGACCTGGCGCCGAAATGTCATCAGTGTCGGCGCCAGACGAATCTCAGTTGGGAGGGCATTCCATAGTCTGGGGGCAGCTGCCGAAAAGGCCCTTTGTCTACAAGCCATCCCTCTTACCTCCTTAAGGGATGGCTCTTTCAAAAGGGCCCCCTGGCTAGATCTTAACTGCTGGGTAGGCTCATATGGAAGGAGGCAGTCCTTCAGGTATCCAGGGCCCAAGCCGTTTAGGGCTTTATATGTCAAAGCAAGCACTTTGAATTGGGCCCGGGCAGCAACTGGTAACCAATGTGACTTAAACAGAATTGTCTTGATGTGTTCCCTAGTGGCCCCACCACTCACCAGCTGTGCAGCTCAATTCTGAACCAGTTGCAGTTGCCGGTCCATCTTCAAAGGCAGCTGCATGTAGAGCACATTGCAATAAATAATCTATACAAGATGTTACCAGTGTGTGTGTAACTGTCATGAGACTCCGCTCATCCAGGTAGGGCTGTAGCTGGTACAATTTCCGCAGCTGAAGGAAGGTGCCCCTGGCCACCGAGTCCACCTGGGTTTCTAGAGTTAGACTGGGGTCCAGGAGCACCCCCAGGCTGCGGACTCTGTCACTTAGGGGGAGTGTAACCCCATTCAGGGCAGGGTAATGGCCCTCCAACCTGTGAGGTGAACCACCCACTAACAGCACTTCCATCTTGTCTGGATTGAGTTTCAATTTATTAACCCTCATCCAGGCCATTATCTGGTCCAGACATGAGTTCAGTACAGAAACAGCCTCACCTGGATTGGTGGAAAACGAGAGGTAGAGCTGACTGTCATAAGCATATTGCTGACTCCTCAGCCCAAACCTCCTGATGACATCTCCCAGTGGTTTCATGTAGATGTTAAACAGCATGGGGGACAGTATCAAGCCCTGAGGAACCCCATGACATAAATCCCAAGGGACCGAACAACTGTCCCCCAGCACCACCCTCTGGACACGGTCAACCAGGAAGGAGCGGAACCACCATAAAACAGTGTGCTGAACTCCCAACCTAGCCAGCCTATCCAGATGGACACCATGATTGATGGTGTCGAAAGCCATCGAGAGGTCCAAGAGTATCAACAGGGTCACATTCCCCCTGTCTCTCCCCTGGCAGAGGTCATCGTACAGGGTGACCAAGACAGTCTCCATACTGAAACCCGATTGAAATGGATCTAAAAAATCCATTTCATCCAGCAGCGCCTGGAGTTGCCTGGCCACAGTCCACTCCAACACTTTGGCCGAATAAGGGAGGTTCGCCACCGGTCATTAGTTAACCACCAGTCTTGGGTCCAGGTTAGCCTTTTAAAGGAGTGGATGAATTATCGCCTCTTTCAAGGTGGTAGGGACCACTCCCTCTCTCAAAGAGGCGTTCACGGCCTCCTGAACCCAAGTGCGAACCTCCCTGGCAGATCTTCCAATTAGTCAAGATAGGCAAGGGTCGAGCAGAGTGGTGGTAGAACGGACAGATCCAAGCACCCTGTCCACATCCTCAGGTCTCAACGACTGAAACTCATCCATTATGTGATCTAAGCACAGCACACTGGGCACATCCTCTGATTTTGCAGTAATGGTGGATTCCAACCCACTGAATCTAAGCCATTTTTCCCTCAAAATGAATGGCAAACTCATCACAGCGAGCTGATGAGCAGTCCAGAACCACCCAGAACAGCTCTGCTGGATGACATTCTAAGGAAGCAATACAACTGGAGAAATATTGCCGTTTTGCCACAAAATACAGTGGGGTCTTGACTTGAGAACTTAATCCGTATTGGAAGGCGGTTCTCAAGTCAAAAAGTTCTCAGGTCAAATCTGCATTTCCCATAGGAATGCATTGAAAACCATTTGATCCGTATCTGCTCTTTTCCGTCCATAGAAACTAATGGGAAGCTGCTATTCCGCCTTTGACCACTAGGGGGGGATATTTTGTTTCTTTTTTTTCTTAGGTCAAGAAAGGTTCAGGGAAGGCAGGGAAAAGACAGTCCAGGCAGGACAGTACCAGGCAGTCTGAAGACTGTCTCCCAATCCACTCTCTAAACGCTGGGAGGAGTCAGGAAGCAGACAGGCACCCTTTTCACTGGCCAACAGTTAACTGAAAGTTCACATTTTGCACTCTCCCTGCCTCCCGCGTGGTTTTTTTTCAGTTCTTAACTCAAATCTAAGTATGTAAGTCAAGTCAATATTTTCCTATGAGAGTGGTTCTTAAGTCAAAATGTTCTTAACTCGAGCCGTTCTTAAGTCAAGACCCCACTGTAGGCCCGATAATGGGCTCTAAGTCATGTTTGATCGGACTTCCAGCGGGACTTCCTCCACTTGCGCTGCAGCTGTCTCCCCTCTCGCTTCATCGCCCGCAGTTCAGAAGTATACCAAGGAGCTGTCTGGGCTCGGCGTGCAGGGAGAGAGTGCTTAGGCACAATCATGTCTTAATAGAACCCCCACCCTTGCAGAGGGAAGAAGCTAATAGACTAAACTTGACCAGGAAGTGGTCTGACCATGACAATGGGGTCACAACCAGCCCCTCCATGTCCAAACCACCATCTTCCAGTCCTGTTGAGAAAACCAGGTCCAATGTATGGCCCTTCTCATGTCGGGCCGATGACACATTGAGACAGCCCCATGGTTTTCATGCCAGCCATGAAGTCTTGAACCTCTCTAGTCAAGGAAACCTTGCCATGGATGTTGAGGTCCCCCAGCACCAACAGCCTGGGAGTCCTCAACACCAGGTCCAAGACTACCTCCGTCAGCTCAGGCAGGGAGACTGCTGGTACACAGCAGGGTGGGCAGTACACCAACAGAACCACCAAAATGTCTTGTAAGCCCAACACGCAATGCAGGCCGTCAATACCGCCTCTCAAAGGGATAGGAAGCCTAGTCAAGGAGATAGAACTCCTATCGACTATAGCAACTACTCCTCCCTGATCCTCCGAGCGACACTGATGCAGGACCGAGTACCCAGGTGGACACAGCTGGGAGGGGGGACCACCACCCTCCTCTCCCACCCAGGTCTCAGTAATGCATGCCAGGTCAGCACCCTCATCCAGAATTACATCATGGATGAGGGCAGTCTTATTTTGTACTGACCTGGCGCTCATCAACAGCACTGTGTGGCTCGAGGGTTTGCTGATATGGTCACCTGATACCATCTGGTTGGGGGTAGGACTAGAAGAGGGGATAGATGTAAGATATCTAACCTCTCTTCTTCTACGTGGGCATGTTCTAACCCCACCGCCATTCCTTCCCCTACCCAGCACCACCTCAATGGCTGCCTCCTCCAACACCCTAC